CTGGGGGATGTGATGGGGGGCTCAGCCCAGCCCCTGGCCCCCAAGCCCCTCTGACCACCCCAGCCCTCACCCCACACTCACAGGATGTACATGATGACACCGATGGCCCAGCAGTCCACCGGCCGCCCGTACCGCTGCCGCCCCACCACCTCTGGAGCTGCAGGGGACAGAAGAGCAACCCTGCCCCGGGGTCCCAAATGCCCTGGCTGTTTGGCCCTGGGATCATAGGGAGTGGGAGGGACCCACTGGAAGAACCCAGGATCAGCCCCCAGGGTGTGATGGGGAGTGGGAGGGACCTGCCAGAGGCACCTGTGACCATCAGGAGGGACCCACTAGGAGCCCCCAGGACCACTCCCCAGTGTGGTGAGGAGCAGCAGGTACCTGCTGGGACCCCAGCAGCACTGTCCACCCCTGAATGCCCACCCGGCTGGCTCTAACCCACCCAGGTACTCAGGGGTGCCGCAGGGTTCCTTGATGAGCCCGTTCTCCAGCTTGGCCAGATGGAAGTCGCTGATGACGATCTTGGAGTTCTTCAGGCGGTTATAGTACACCAGGTTCTCCAGCTGCTGGTGCAGGGGCTGTGAGTGCCAGGGTGGGGGGCATGGCACCACCCATGGGTGCTCACACCCCTCCATCACCCACCTTGAGGTTCCTGTGGACGATCTTGAGCGAGTGCAGGTAGGCAACAGCCTCCAGCACCTGCCGGATGACATTGCTGGTGTCCTTCTCGGAGTAGTAGCCCTGATCCAGGATCCAGTCAAAGACCTCCCGGCCAGTGGCCCTGCAGACAGCAGTTCTGCCGAGACCCCACCCTGGTGCGGCCACCCTGCACACACCCCTGCATGTCCCAAACTTACAGCTCCAGGAAGATGAAATATTCCTTGCGGGTGATGTAGACATCCACTAGTTGTAGGATGTTGGGGTGCTTTACCCTGCAGAGACACAGGGGCATGGGTGGGAGTCCCTCCCCACTTTGCCCAGCTGCATGGGATCCCCCCCAGCCCTGGCACTCACATTTTGAGGATGATGATCTCGTTTTTGGCTGCCTTCCGCACTTTCCGCCCGTCCCGCTTCAGAAACTTCTTGCAGGTGTAGAGCTTCCCCGTCGACTTCTCCTTGGCCCGGAAGATTTCACAGAACTCTTCCCTGCAAGGGTACCCCCAACCATCACCCCCTTCCTGGGGACCACTGAGCTTGGGGTGCTCAGGTGGCCCCTGGGCCCACCAGCATTTCCCCCAATCCCAGCAGTCAGGGGAGATGCCACAGGGGTGGAAGGAAGCTGTGGCTAAAAACCTCTTTGGAGGAGAGGGGAAGAAAAAAACAGCAGTGAGAAGGAACTGATATGGAATAAGCAAAATGATAGGGAAGGGGTAATATTTGCTGGTTAAAAAGCCCCCTCCTCACAGCAGCTGAGGTAAGACCCACTGCACAGCCACCCGTGCCAAGGTGGAACAGCAGCACACCCCAACATTAATGTCAGCACTGCGGTCAGGGAGAAAAAAGGGGAGACTTGCTGGTTGCTGCAGTTTTTCTGTTCTATTATTAATGGTGCCTGAGCCCATCAGCCAGGTCAGAGCCACGGGGGAGCCCCCGGGGGGCACTCGGCACTGCTCCAGCAAAGCTTTGGCTTCCAGTCCCCCCCACTGTGCTGAAATCCTCGTGGCCGCTGCCCTGGATGGAGGGGAACTGGGACCTGTGGGCTTTGGGGCAGGCTGCCCAGAGGATGGAGCAAAGATCTGAGAGCACCAAGGTCCCCACTGCCACCCACTGTCACCCCACCAGGCATGACCAATGGCCAAGTGGTTGCTTGGGAAAAAATTCTGGTGCATATTTTGGGGTCAAGCTGCTCTCCATGGGTCTGAGAGCTGCATTTTTTGGAATGCATCCTAACGGGTCCCCCAGCATGGCAATAAAAGTTGGGGGAAGCAGCAGTGCTCTGCTCCCCCCCAAATGATATCTGCCTTTCCTTTGCTGGAGCAGAGCCCTTCTGCTTCCCAAACTGCTTGGGGGAGCCAGGATCGTGCAGAATTGCTGCAATCCCTGCAAGTCTTGTGGCGAAGAGGGAGGGATACAGGGAGATACCCAGCTGCAGCCAGCAGTGGTGGGAAAGCTCGCTGCCCTCCTCGGAGCCGGCTGTGGAAACCCCCATGCACCCACGACCAAGAGGAACTAATTAGGAGATAGCCACCCCAAAATGCACTCTGCCATCCTAGCCCAGCTGGGCTCCAGCACCCCAAGAGCCCTGCAGGCAGTGTGGTGCCACTCCTCAGCCCAGAGTATGCAGGCGTTGGGGTCCCCGGGGCATCCGCGGGCTGTGGAGGGACCAACTCACGTTTTGATGACCTGGCCCAGGTCATATCTGTCAGTCACCTCGGACGGCTGGTTATAATCTTTCTTGTCTCCCAGCGTCACGCAGCCAAACGGCATCGCAGGGCCCGGTGCTGGCAGGGCAGGGAGAGGCGGTGAGTGCCTGGCACCGCCGGCCCCCCTGGAGCCACAGCAGACCCTCCCGAGCTGCACTAATTAATGTAAAACCTGACGGAGCTCAGCGCCTGCTCCTGCTCCCCAGCTGTCACAAACCACCGTGTGCCCAGCCCCACCGATGTGCATCCAAACCCCATGGAATCCACTCTCTCTGCCTGGGCTCAGGCTGCCAGCACAGCCACGAGCTGGCCCCTCTGGCCCCCCTAGTGCGGATCGTTAATTCTTAATTAGCAGCCAGGGCTAGCGCACTGAACCCTTCAAAACCAGGGCCCGGAGCACACACTGGGGAGGGAAGTGGAGGGGAATCGACCCTTTCCCATTTCTCAGCCCAGTTTTGTCCCATGGTGACATTTCAGCAGCTGGGGCCTCCCCAGGCAGAGCATTGTCACACGTTGTCACATGTGCAGTGGGTTACACCAGCCTCAGCTCCCCATCCCTTTTCCCAGCCCCGACTGCGGCACCGGGCAGGTGGGCACCGTGGCTCAGAGGTGCCAGCCCTCCTGCCACCAGCAGCGGGCAGGACACTGACTGGCCTTGGCACACACCAGCTCCTCTGGCCCTTTAGGAAGGATGTTTTGCCCCTTGCTTTCCTGCTGGGAACCCTTCAAAACCAAATCCTCCTTGGAAGCTTCCCAGAAAAAAATCCGGTCGCATAAAGTGATTTTTTTCCCTCTCCCACCCTGTTACCAGGAGGAAGTTTCAGCTGGCGTTATTTTCTGATGGCTCAGAAGGTGACAGAGCTGCCTGGGGCCCCCCAGCCCTCTCGGACGGGCCTGAGTGGGACCCTGTGATGGGATGCTGGCACGATGCTGGAGGGACCCATTGCCCAGCGCTTAAGCTCCCTGAACACTGCGCTGTGCTGTGCCGGCCTGGCTGTGCCGTGCTGGCAGCGCCCGGGGCCGGGTGGTGAGAGCTGCGGGCAGGATGGCAGTGCGGGATGCGGGATGCGGGAGCCGGCATCGCGGGTACCCAAGCGCCGAGCCTGTTGCTATGGCAATGGGAGCTGAAGATGCAGAAAGCGGCACATCCTTTGGAGGGGGCAGGGACGGGCAGCACCCGGCAGTACCCGACCCACCTGCGGGTGCGCAGCCCTATCCCTGCTGCACAGGCCCTGGGAGGAAGGTGGTCGTGCCCGCAGCACCCAGGGCATGCACCTAAGCTCTCCCTGGGGTGATTGACCCAAACCTGGGTGGGACGGGAGTGCCCTGAGCCGGGGAATGGGGGGATGCTTCTTCCTGCCTCCATCCCTAGGAGCTGACCTGCCTCTGTGCCTGCTCAAGCAATGCCCAGAGGATGGGTGCTCCCAGCTTGCACGGCACCCAGGCACCTCCTACCAGGAAAGCCTTCACCGGGCAAAAGCACCCACACCCGTCCTGCTCAGCGTGCCCCAAGTCCCGAAAGAGAATCAGAGCACCCATGGGACACCCCTGCCCGTGCCACAGACTGGGTGAGGCTTTCCAGCCCACGCTTGACTCATACCACCAGCCTCCCCAGCAAACGTGCCCTGCCTGGCACCTCCGTGTCCCCATGCCACACAGTGCTGGCTCTGCCATGCTACTGTGCCCGATCAAGGGGGACGAGGGCTGTCCTGGTAGCTGCTGGTGTGGTGTTGGGCTCCATGCCACAGACCATCGGGGCAGGGCTGGCCTGCGGGCAGGCAGGCAGGCTGCCAGCACTGGTGGCACAATGCCAGGATTAGTCGGGAAGGGGACCCAGGCAGGATGATATACTGGGATTTTATTGCTGTCTCTGCGAGCGCTCAGCTAATCTGCGCTCATAAAATTAGTTCCTGTTGGTTTAATGGGGGCTCTTCCTGCCAGGGCTGAGCACCGGTACCCTCCCCTGCCCCAGGGGGCTTGAGATGGGGCTCAGCACACCTGAGGTGCCCTGCAAGGGAGGCTGGCACACAGCCCCACATCGGGGCCACCACCTGCACCCCACAGGTGAGAGCACCCTCAGGGCAGCAGGGGCACCCAGGGGCAAGGGGTTGGCGAAAGGGCGAGTGCTTCCTCCCCGAGGTGCCGGGGGGAAGGCTCAGTGCTGCGCTGGCACCCGCACGCAGCCAGCACCCCCCTCCAAGTGTCTAATTTGGGAGCAGAAGCAACAGCGGGTGTAAGACAATAGCGGGGAAGTGGGTGGCCGGGTGGGGATGGCACGGAGGGATGACGCAGCCGTGCAGCCCTCGCCAGCGGGGACCCCCAGCCCCCCGACCCCCAGCTCTGCCCTACGGCATGAGGTGCCACTGGCCGGTGCTCCACCTCCAGTCCCGCTTCCACCTGCAGCTGCCCTGGACGTGTCCGTGGGGGGGTCCCCGCTGCCATCCCGCCCCCACGTCCCGGGGGAAGGATGTACCGGGGACAGGCAGAAAATGCAGCCGGACTGAGACGGACTGAAATATTGCTAGTGCAGGCAGCGGGCACGCAGCGGGAGGCGGAGGGGATGCGGAGGGACCGTCCGGCTCTGCGCTGCCCGCGGAGCCCCCGGGTTGGGGCTGAGGCAGGGCTTGGGGAGCCCCACCGCCCGCGGCCCGGGGCGTGCGGGGGGACAGCCCGGGCCGCGCACCGCAGGGAGGTCTGCGCTTGGCCGGCTCGGAGCGCTGCGGCAGCGGGAAGGGAGCGGACTGCAGGAGAGAGGCGCGGGGTCCGGGAGGGGATGCTTGGCGGCAGGGACAAGGGGAGAGAGTCCTCCGCAGCAGCCCCCGCCACGGGGCCGGCCCAGGTCTCCGCTTCGAGCTCCGCGCGGAGACGGGGGCGGCACCGGGGCAGAAGCGGCCCGGGGGCGCGAGCGGGGCGGCGCGGGGGGAGCCGGGCTCCGGCAGCTCGCCGTGCCCGCGGCGCCCGTCGGGGCTCGGGGTCTGCGGGACGCGGGGTGCCGGCGGGGGCAGCGCGGCGGCGGGCAGCCGTCGGGGCGCACACGCATTGGGCAGGGACCCGCACGGCCCCGCCGGGATGTCCCAGGTCACCGGGGGCGGGGGGAGAGTCGGGGGCAGCCCCGGGACAGCCAGTTCCAGATCCCAGCAACGCCCCCACCGCCGGGCCCGGCCCCTCTCGCCCCCGGTCCGGCGCGGCGCGACGCTCACCTGCACGCCTCTCCGACCGCAACGGGGGGCTGCGGCCCGGAGCCGCCGCTCGGGGGGAGCGCGCCCCTCCCTCCCGCCCTCCCGTGCCGGGCCGGGGCCGAGCCGGGCCGAGCCGAGCCGCTCCCAGGCGCTCCCAGCGCTCCCAGCCGGTCCCAGCCGAGCCGTCGGTCCGTCGCGGCGCGGCCCCGCGCGCCCGGCGCGGCAACTTGGAGGGGCGGGGCCGCGGGGACACGCCCCGCCCCACGCCCCGCCCCGCTCATGACGTCACAGTCGAACTTCGCGCCCGGGGGGACGGGTCACGAGTGGCCCCCGGAGCGGCCCGCGGGGGGTGGGACACTGAGCTGGGACACCGCCACGCCCTGGGGACCGCGTACCCCATGGGACTGGAGACCCCATGGGACCCTACACCATCCTCATCGGGCTGAGCCCGGGTCCCCCTGGGCTGTGCCATGGCCACTAGCTTGCGATGGGATGGGATGGGATGGGATAGAGTGGAGTGGGACAAGATGGATGGGATGAGATAGAATGATGTGCAGGAGGGTGGGATGAGACAATACGGATGGGATGGAATGGGATGGATGGGATGGAATGGGATGGATGGGATGAGACGTGACTCGGTGGATGAGATGGGATGGAATGGGAGGGATGGGATGGGATAGGAAGAGGCAGGATCAGGATTTTAGCAAAGCTAAATTCAGGCTCAGCATCACAGGTGTCTGTCCCCTGAGGGCACTATGAGGACACTGCCATGAGGACACTCCTGCCTCTGTGCCATGATCCAGGGTGAACCAGGCAACTTCTCCTTCCCTAGCTGCAGGGCCAAAGGCCCTGCTCGCTCCCCCATGACAGGGATAGTCTGTACCCCACAGCTTGGCACAAGGAGCAAGAAAGCAGCAAGAAATTGTCCACCCTGATTCTCTTCCTCTGCCCACAGCTCGGGCATGGCACCCAGCCAGGGGTGGGCAGCACAGCCCCCAGGGCACAGCAGGGCCCCCAGCCCCTCGCCCAGCCCCCTCACCCCCCGCTCCTCATGCAGTGCAGCCGCGTGTGCGGAGCCTCCCCGACGGCTGCGTGCCACACACTGGCATTTGCGGCCCATATGGTGCTGCTTCCGAACCATTCTTCCACTCCCTTTCCCTCCCGCCCCTGCACCCACCGAACTCCAGCTCCCCAAACCACCTGGCTTGCACGATGTCGCTGCAGGGATGTGGCCTCCCGTGCCCTGGACCCACAGCCTTCCCCCCCGCCCATGGACAGGGAACATCAGGGTCCCATCCCCTAAGCCAGCATCTCCCCTCTGCACACAGGAGACCAGCCAGCACCCCAAGGCAGAGCCAGCTTGGAGCACTCCTGGCACCTGTCCCCTGTGTGGCACCGAGCCCTGGGCCCACCGCCACCCGCACCGGGTAATTAACGGCACGTGAGAGCAGGGGGAATTAGCGGGGCACTGTAGTTTGAGCTTCTAATCAAGAGTTTAATCATAGTGGCTGGCAGCAGCGCGCCACGGTTATTAATCTCTGCACCTCACGGGGACCTGGAGCATAAGTCACAATTACCCGGCAGGTGCCTGTGCGGTGTGGGGCTGCCTGGCCGTGGCTCACAGCACGAGGGATGGGATGGGATGGGATGGGATGGGATGGGATGGGATGGGATGGCACACCTCCATAGTCCCTTGGTCCCGCTTGTGCCCGTCACCTCCCAGCACCAGCCTCCTGCCCATGGCAGAACTGGCCTGGGATCCCATTACTGTCCCCTGATCCCAGCTCTGGTTCAGATCTTGGTCCACCCCATGTCCCCATTTTGGGGTGATGGGCTTTGCTGAGCCCAGTGGCGTTTGTCCCTGTGGTGCTGTGCCCCATTGCCCTGTGCATCCACCATCACATGCACCCACTGCATCATGCACCTACACACTCCCTTCCCACTGCCTCCCAGAGCTGGGTCCTGGGTGTCATGGCAGTCTGGGGTGTTTTTTCCTGCAGGACTTCTGGAGTGAGTGAGCCTGGGATGCCCGAGGTGGGGCTGCCAGTGCTGGGGGCACTCAGCTGTACACCTCTGCCTTGGATGGGGCACATGGGGAGGGGGGGACACCTGGATGTACCCTTGGGTGAGGAGACACAGTGGGGGGGACATCTGGCAGGGTGGAGGGGGTGCAGGGCCTGCCTGCAGGGTGCTGGGGGGTACAGTGGAGTGCAGTAGGGGGTGTTCAGTGTGTCTGTTCAGGGGTGCAGTGGGGTGCAACGGGTTGTTCAGTGTATCTGGGCAGGGGTGCAGTGGGGACTGTTTAGTATATCCATGCAAGGGTGCAGTGGGGTGTGATAGGTGGTGTTCAGCGTGTCCATGCAGGGGTGCAGTGAGATGCAGTGTGGGGTGTTTGGCATGTTGATGTTGGGGTGCAGTGATGTGGTGAGGGGTGTCCGTTGTGTCGGTGTTGGGGTGCAGTGGGATGCAGCGGGGGCTATTCGGTGTATCCATGCAGGGGCGCAGTGGGGTGTGGCGGGGGGTGTTCAGGGTGTCTGTGTTGGGGTGCAGTGGGGAGCGGTGTGGGGTGTTGAGCGTGTCGGTACTGGGGCGCAGTGGGGTGTGGCAGTGGGTGTTCGATGTGTCCGTGTTGGGGTGCAGTGGGGTGCAGCGGGGGGTGTTCAGCGTGTCCGTGACTCAAGCACCACGCGGCACCGCATCCCTGCGTGCTCACCATCGCCATGGCAACCGCCAGGCAATCAGCGATAATTGCGCACGTCGGCCCGGCAACAGGGCCAAATAAACCCCATCCCTCCTTTCGGGGGGCTGGCGGGGGGCTAGGGGGGGAGAAAAAGAAGGGTTGCACCTGCCAATCATCACCCCTGGCCCTCAATTGGGATCAGCAGCAGGGGGGGTTGCATGGTGGCAGGGCCACCCTCCCCGCAAGTGTCCCGTGGCACCCATGTGCCCTGGAAGGCGTCGAGGGATGCAGCCAGTGAGCCGCCCAGCCCAGCCCCAGGTGTGGGGGACCCTCAGCAATGACCCCCAGCTCAGCCACCAGACCCCCACAGTGGCACAGCTCCTCCAGCCCGTCCCAGTTGGTGACCACGCCATGAGTGAGGACAGGGCTGCTCCCCACCTGGCTGGGCACCATGGAGCATGGCTGCTTGTCCCCGGACACCTGCTCCTGGTGTGGCCCATCCCCGTGTTGATGACAGCACACAAAGCCTTGTACCTCTCCACAGGCTTGGCTCCCATCACATCCGGGGCTGGCTCCTAGTCCCTGGAGCCCTGATGTGGGAAGGGGGCTTGGTTTCCATAGTGTCCTCCTGCATCACAGTGATGACATGGCATTGGGGTTTGGTTCCCCTTCCCACTGGAAGAAGTTTGAGGGTCCCCTGGCTCTCTGTGTGGTAGTACCTGCAGCCATAGGGACCAGGGTACAGGGAGGCTGCTCAGGGCGACAGCTCAGGGAGAGAAATGTCTCCAGGGGAGAGAACTGGCTCCCAGGGACAGGGCCAGGATCAGGATTGGGACTGTGATGTGGCTGGCACAGGTCCTGACCAGGCTCTGAGATGGGATGAGCCTCCCCATCTAAGGATGGGTGTTGTCTCCTGGGCAGAGAAAGAAGAAAAAGACGTGCCTTATAGCCTGGAAGGATTTTAGGGGTAAACAAAAGCTTCCTGGTGGCCGGCAGACCTCCCCAGGGGCCAACAGAGATTCCCAAGGGCCAGCAGAGATCCCCAGGGACCTCCAAAGCTCCCCAAGCACCACCAAAGTTCTCCAGGGGCCATCAGAGCTCCCTGAGGGCCATTAGAGCCACGGGTGGGTACAGGGGTGCCCTGGGCAGTGCAGGCGCCCCCAGTGACGAGTTCCAGAACCAGGCGGGGAGGCCGGAGGGACAGGGCCGGCTGCCGGGGCCGGGGTGTGGGCAGCAGGGGTCGGGGGTTCCGGGATGCGGGCGGCCCCCCCGCCGCTCACAGGCATCATTAGCAAAACTCGCCGGTTTCTAAAAATGGCACGTCGGTGCCGCGGCGGCTGCTCTTCACGCCCGCTCCCCAGCACCGGCAGCCGCTAAAAACAGCTCGGCGCTGCCTGCTGCCTCCTGCCACCTCTCGCCCGGACGACTGGCACCGGAGACCACTGTTACACCCAAACGCTGATTTAGCACAATTTTGCCCATCTCCAGTCCAGCCCTTACGCCGTGGCACCCGCTGCCTGCGCCCACTTCCCCATGAGGAGCCCAAACTCGCTGCTGGCTCAAGGTGCCATTGCGGCAGCACCGGCAAACGCCGTCGCAGCACATCCCCGGGCGATGCCAGTGGCGGGACCGTGCCCGGCTCTGCTTGTGCACCCGCAGCCCCGCGTGCGGCCACTCATGTTTTATAGATGGCTCTGATTTTAATAATTAATCCCTGCTAACGGCAGCACTTTCCCCAAATAAAACATTTAAAGTGCTGTGTGTGCACGGCGCGTTGCCGGGGTGGGACGCCGGCTGCTCTGCTGCAGCCGTGGCGGGTGGGCACAGCACGAGGTGGTGTGGCACAGCATGGCACAGCGTGGAATGGCCTGGCACGGCCACACCTGCCCACAGCTCTGCCCAGTGCTACACCAACCATGTCCAGGCACACAGCACCTTAGGTGCCACCCACCCAGTGCCCACCTGTGGGTGCACAGGCAGCATGTTCAAGACACTGCCCCAACTGGGGCAGGGGGGGCAGGTGCCATGCAAGGTGCTGCCCTGCGAGGTCACCTGCCTGTCCCTGCTGCCATGGCAGTGGGCACAGCACCAGCACCAGTCCTGACCAGCAGCATCGAGCAGGGGTGGGCAGGGGTGGGCACATGCCAGCCCTTGGCATGGAAGTCTGGGTGCTTATTCCTCACCTCCCGCAGCGTAATTAGGGCAAGATAAATGTGGATTAGCATGAAATCTGTCATCTCTGCAAGCACATTTGCAGGGGGGATGGGGGCAGCCTGAAGCAGGAGCCGCCCTCACACACGTCACTGTAACCACGCCAGACTCATCAGCTAACGAGCAGTTCCCTGTGCCACTCCTCTGCCAGCTCTGACAGCCCTGCTCCCACTGGCTACCCCTGCAGCTGCCCACTGTGTCATGGGCAGGGGGCCTGGCACACATCTTTCACCCAGTCACATCCCCGGGTACCCACCATGCTTTGTGCTAAGGAGAGCAGCACCCAGGGCACCTGTCTGTCCATCTGTTTGTCCATCCAT